TTTTTTTCAGATCGGCGCTCGCCATCATGGAGTGCGGCGCCGACGTTTCAACTTGATCCCGACCTATGCCCCCACCTTGGCAGTGTGGCAGGAGACGATGGAGTCCAGCGCCGCCGAGGGTGGCTTTTCGGCTACTCGAGTGCTGGGCCTTGGTTGTCCTAGCGCAGCTGCTCGTGGGCAGCGCGAACTGGGCGATCCTGACGGGGAGTGGAAAGACATGCGTGGGCGACCTGGCACAGCGGCCTACGATGATTGGACGAATACCTTAGAGTGTTTAGAGAAAGCTGCGCGGAGACGATGCGCACCTCCGCATTCTGCCCCTGGCGAGGCCTGGCCGTTGGCACTCAGGGCGGCCGCGCGCGAGGCTCGAGGGGGCCCTCCCGAGGGCGACGGCGACGCGCGACGACGAGTGCATGTCCCCTGACCGAGGTTTGCGGAGCCACGTTTTGGCATCCTGAGGCAGATCAGACACTCCTGTCGCGCGCCCTTTCAGCGTCGCTGGCCGCGCGCGTTTCAGTTGAGGGGCGGAGGCCGTGCTATTGATTCATTGTTATTGCCCTTTCGGCAAAGCTTGGCATAGAGCATAGAGGTATATTCGTTCGACATGAAAGGCCGCGGCCCCCTGATCACGCCCGCGGCCATGCGGCGCGCCGGCCGAGGCAGAACGCGCAGCTCGCCGCCAAGCTACATTCGTGGCGATTGCGCAGGAAGCTCGCGTCGCACTTGCAGGTGAACAAAGACACGCGCGACGCCTTCCCTTCCACCGATCACGAGATGCTGGAGCAAGTGATAGGAAAGGTGATCCCTGACGCGCAGGGCCAGATCTTCCGGCGGCAGCGCCATCGCGAGGCTGCGATGGAAACCAAGGCGGGCGAGGAGCGAGGATTCTTTCAACCTTCCCATGGCGCGGGCATGGGCGACGGCAACGCTTTGAGATGTTCGCGCGCGCGTTCGTGGAGCCGCTGGAGGCGTGGAATCGCATTTTGAGGGCGGGGGCCCAGGCCGTCTCGGATGCAGGTGGCGGTGGCTCTGTTCTTTTGGAAGCGGCGGCGCTGATTGACTCGCTTATTCGCCAGCAGCGGATAGATACATCCATGCGGGACTACGCTGATGACGTCTCGCAGACGCTGCCCCTTCCTGGCGGCGACCCATTTCGAGCAGCACAGGGGGCAACCATGTCGCCTCGCATCTTGTCTGATCAGTTGGAGGAGCTAGGAGGTTTTTGCCAGAACGTCGATAAGGATATCATCCTTCTTGTTTTTTGGTGGGCCCTGGGGGGTGCGCGGCCACTCGCGCCGCCCTCTCTGGGCTCGCGCAGTCTCCTGGACAGGTGAAAGCAGAGGCGGTGTACTTAGGAGGACTGGGACATGTTGCGGGAGGAGCAGGAGCTGAGGCTCATCAACGGGTTGACGCTACGCGATCTGCTTGGTCGAAGCTAGGCCGTTTCTGGAAGCAACGCACGTCCCCGAAACTCAAGCGCGTGGCTTCCTCGGGGGCGATCCACAGCGCGGCCTACTCGGGCCTTGAGGTCTACCTTCTAGGGAAGCGATATTTTGCGAAGTTCGACTCGGTCATCTTGGGGGTTGCAAAAGTCGCTTTTCGTGGGGTCGCTCGACATGTCGGACCTGGCGGGGATCGCGTTCAAAACCCGTCGGCGCGGCTGATGCGCAAACGGTTGAGGATCGCAGATGCCAGGGCCGAGCTGTTGATTCGTCGACTCGGTTACTGGCAGCGTCTGGCTTTTCATCCACATGATTCTGCGCAGGTAGTTGCGGCTCTCTTTGGGCAATTCACGACGCCCGGCGAATCCCCGACGTTCACCCCATCTGGATGGATCTGACCTGGCGCCAATCCGTGCGCCCTGCAGCTGCAAAGAGATGTGCATCTCCTGGAGGCCATCCCCAATGGAAATAACTTCTTAGACAAGGGCCATAGCATCAAGGACATATTCACTAACCCTAGAGTAGTTGCAGCACCCTGTAGGAACATAGACGCCAAGGGCTTTCGCAAGGCTTATTGGGAGCAGGCTCGCAATGGACCCCATTCAGCCACCCTCAGAACTCCTAGCGTCAGGTGCCCCTGAAGTTCCTCCAGTCCTTGAAGGTCCCCCATCAAGAGTTCTACTGTGAGCTTCCAGGTGAAGATGGGGACCCTTGTGGCCGGGTCTTCTACGCCAGGGCGGCCTTGCGAGCGCACCAGTGCCACCGCCCGCCCCACGAGATCAGGGTCCCTATGCATCAGTTCGTGGTGACCAAGCAATGCTGCTATCGCTCGCTCACTTTCTCGTCCGTTGTGCTTGCCAAGAGGCATGTTGTGCAATCGTTGAAGCGTCGCAGGTGCCTGACAGATTACAGTGCGCACTCGCCCCCGTTGAAAGCACCCGACGATTTGCACTGCCCGATCTGCGTGGGCCCAGAGAGTGCTCGCGAGGCTTTTCGTGACCCTGTCTGGAGCCGTGCAGGCTCAAGGCGAGTTTCATTGTCCACAGGCTCTTCGGGCCCGCGTCCGAGAAGTTCACGCCCCGCCGCCGCCTGATCTTGTGATAGACGTCGAACCTTGCGGACAGGGCACTCGCGACTGGGGCGGAGCAGCGGCGAGGAGAACTCGCCGCTGGGCGCGGCGATCGGACTCGCAGCGGAGATCGAGGTCGCCGCGGAGGTCCAGGTCCGAGGGCCCAGCCCCAGCAGCCCCCTCCTGGGGGGGCCCGGGCGGCGAGGCCCCAAGCGCGCCAGGGCGCTCGACGACGCCCGGGCCGCCGCCGAAACCCGCCGCGGCTCGCGCGAGGGAGGCTTCACCGACGTGCAGATGATGCCGCCCCCCGTGGGTGCAGGCGATGGCGCCCATCTCAGGGCTCATTTCGATTCCTTCGATTCGATTCGATTCGATGTCGATGGATTCCGATTCCGATTCGATTCGCCTTCGGATTCCGATTTGGGATCCGATTCTTTATTGGAGGCATAATTGCCTGCCGATTTACTCCGATTTGACTTTTCCCGACTCGGCTGCCGATTTCCTCCGATCCGATTTATTTCGAGTGCCGATCCGACTTATCGATTCGATTCTGGGCTCTCCTGCCATCTTGACAAGGATGGCGCTTGGGCACGAACATCGCCTCGGCCGAATGGGGTCGGGCAGCTTCCGACGAGCCGCGGCGCGCCGCAGTCGAGGGTGCGCGCGCGGCGCGCTACTGCGGGCAGGAGGCCAAGAGGCTTCGCGGCCACCGCCAGGAGGCAATCAAGGACGGCGAGCTCGTTCCAGAGTCAGAAGAGCTCGGGCTCCCACATCTCGGGGGAGAAAAAGATACGGATACGTGTTGTCCCCCTTCGTTTTCGGCCTTTCCTGGTCCTCCTGGGGAATCCTTGTTGTCACCGCTGGATTCGCTTCGAAATTCTGGTCAGAACGCACCCCAAGAGAGGTCCGGGGACAACGCGTATCCGTATCTTTCCGCCCCCCAAACATCCACGCGCGTGGGTTGCACTCATCGGCGCGCTCGTGGCCTCAGGGGGGCAAAGTAGGGCAGACGAGCGCAACCGAGCTCAAGGACTACCAAGGGAAGCCCAGGCACGAGAAGTCATCCAACGGCGACCTGGCAGATTTGGTTCGGCACTGCAGGCTCCAGACGACGCGCTCTCAGGACGAAGTCAAGATCTGGATCGAGGCCAAAGCGACGGGCATGGAGGATATCGCGGTGCAGGCTCTGGCGCAGATCTGAGGGGTACACCAGCGCGGGGCGCCGCCTCGCAGTCACACTTCACGGATTCTGCAATTGCGTCTCGCCGCGAATCAAAAGCTCGGCTAATAGAAGCGACGACGAGGCCATTGCAGTAGAATGCCCCGAACTCTGGTGCGAGTGGCAGTTGGCACACCATTGGAATGCAATCGGAGTCCGAGCAGCAGATTGTTGTGCCGCCTTCGCCGCTTCGTGTTGTGGAAAACTGCCCGCTTGTCTCGACGGCAGGCTATGATGAGATGGTCCCCAATCCCGTCACAGACGGTGCCCACGCTTGTTTCAGTGGTACGGGGACCATAGAATTCGCTGAGCCGTCCTCCTCTGGGGGTGCCGTATCGAGACAAGCTAGAGTTGGAACGCAGGTTGATTTTGGGTTTCGGATCGCCACGCCTTCGTCGCAGATGGCGGCCCCATCTTCGACGATTGCTACCCGACCGACACAAAGTGCCACGCTCTCCTCACTTTCGGCCACGACTGGATCGCAGATGGCTCCTTCTCCTTCGACGGCGGACCCGACGGCGACGGGCACGGGAACTCCGAGAGTTCAGAGACAATCGAGTTCTGCCCCATACGGCCTCCTGTGGGCCTTGCGCGGCTACCCCTGCCTCCGCGAGGTCGTCTAGGCCTAGAGCTGCTGCCGCCGCTGCTGTGCCGTCCTCCTCCGTTTCCTCTTCGACGCCTCCCTTCCCCTTTAGTAATATCCTGGGACTCCTGGGTCTTCAGAGATCTCCCAGATGATTCTCGGTTTCACTTTTTGAGCTGTCCGGCGAGGGCCGTGGACAGCCCGAGTTTCTTTGAATTTAAATCGTTGTTCGTGTGTCGGGGAGCCTTCGCTCGATTAGGGCTGTCCCCGACGCCGTTTTCCACCCTCTCTGCCCCAGACCCTACGGCCGCGCCCAGCCTTTCAAGCACGGGCTTTCAGCCGAGGTAGGGGGTGGGCGGGAACACAAGTGCACCGAGTGCCACGCGTGATGAGCAGCTTCACATCACACCGCCCTCTAGAAGCGAGCCAGCCCTGGAAATCTTCTGTTGTTGATTTCAAATGCCCCGAGCGGCCGCAGGATCAGCTGACACGCCTCTGCAGAGTCGTTTGTTCGTTCGTTCTCCTCTGTCTCATCCTCCTCCTCCTCCATCGCCTTTTCCTCCTCCTCCCCCTCCTCCTCCTCCTCCTCCTCCGCGTGACAGAGGCCCGCCCTGCTTGATCCGATGTGCTCCCTGCGTCCTGCACGTCCGCCGCCGGGCCCCGTCCGCGGCGGGCCCCCCCCCCGAGGAGCAGGGACAAGAGCATGAAGGGCGTCGACCGCTTCAAGAACAAGCTGAAGGCGTTCAAGGGCGAGAGCGAGATGGACGCTGTCCTCAAAGACCTGAACAGCGTAGACGCCTCAAAGGCGCAGCTGCCCCCCGATTCTCCTCCACCCGCTCCCCCCTCCTCGTTCTCGTCGTCGTCGTCGCGGTGCTCCTCCCCATGCTCCCCTGTCCCCCGTGGCCACTGCGGCGCAGGTCTCTCTGCCCGGGGCGACTGCTCCTGGGCTCGGTCGCCTCCCGCTGTGCCGCGGCCCCTGCGCAGCTCGCGCGCCGTCTTAGGCGGCGGCCGTGGCTGCGGGCCCTGTGCGGGAGCAGCTGCCGGCTGCGCCGCGCCCCCCCCAGGCCTCGAGCCCAGCGGCGCGACGCTGGCTCGGGCCAGCCCGGAGCCAGTCCTTAAATTCAGGTCGTCAAACGTCAATTTTGTTCACACCGGGCGTTTCCGCCCTTTTTCGGATCCCGGGACCAATCGCAGCTCGATGTTCCGCGAAGAATGACGCAGAACGACGGTGTCTAGGGCTCCAGTCGTCGCCACACGTCGCGTGATTGCAGCTTTCGCTGCGTGATCGGATCTCAGGGTTGTGCCCGCGCGGCAGGGTCCCCCCCCGCAGCGCGTTCCAGGTGTGCGGGGGGAACCGGAGGTGGCAAGGGGGCGGTTTCCAGGGTGGGCGGCCCCCGACCCCTGCGGCCTGGGCTGCGGAGGGAGGGCGGCCTTGTGGCTCGGCGTTCCCTGCCGCCCCCGTGCTTCACTGTGCGCGGGCCTGTGGCTTGTCGCACGATCGTTTCATTGCCGTCGATGCCTCACCCCATCCTCAAGCAGTGGCGAAGCGTCCTGGATCGCCTATAGGCCCACCAAAGAATGTTCAGAGAACCTTTTTTTGGTCTGCGCGACATGTTAGAACATTTCTGGCTCAGACTGTCCTGTTTTAGTGCACCGGGTTTATGTTCGAAGAAACTTGTCTTTGTTCTTAGAACATTCCGGGGTTCCAAGAACATGTCGTGGTAGGCCTATAGGAATGCTTGGGCGGTCGGTCCCTGCTCAACATCCTCACCCGCATCCCACCGTCGCCGAGCACACGCAGGCCAGGCCTAAGACCGAGTGGTGTCATGCATCGGGGGCGGGCTTGCCGTGAACGTTGCTCGAGGATGAGGGGGAGGAATATTCGGGGCAGGAGGGCCACGACGAGGATAAGTACGAGGGATCCGAGTAGGATAGAGGATCGAGCGGAGAAGCAGGAGGAGGAGGAGGAGGAAGACCTCTTTCTCTCTTTTCCTGTCTCTCTCTTTCTCTCTGTCTCTGTCTCTGTCTCTGTCTCTGTCTCTCTCTCTCTTTTTCTATATACATATACACACCTACACGACCACCCTTCGGGTGGTAAGGGGGGTTGGGGGAAAGAACCAACTGATGGCAATTGCGATGGTTGTGATGATGACGGTGCCGGTGATGCGCCCTCGAGTTGGCGACGACGCGTGATGACGATGCTGCGTCGCGATGGGGTCTCACTATCGATCTCTTTATTGTTCTCACTTTCGATGTCACTGTCGATCCCACTCGATCGACCTCACCATCGATCTCGCTACCGATCTCACTCATCGGGACACCGACGGGACACCAACGGGACACCACGGTGGGACAATCCCAGCCACTTCCCGCCCATTGGGGGGGAGGGCGGGACACTTGCTTTGGCCCGCCCTGGCCACGGCAGAGTCATTCCTCAGGCCCGCCCACGCAGCTTCGCCTCGCCCGCAAGCGCGACACGAACCCGAAACCGAAACCGATTTCTTGGTGGCGGCTCTCCGTTCCACTTCGATATTGAATCTATAAATATATAAATACATATAGGCATCGTTTTTCCAACCATATTGTGGTGTTGGGTCCTCGTTTTAAAGAGAGAGAGAGAGAGAGAGAGAGAGAGAGAGAGAAAGAAAGAAAGAGAGAGAGAGAGAACGAGAGAGAGAGAGATGACAAAAAAAAAGAAAGAGAGGGAGAGAGAACACAAACAAAAAACAAAGACCCCGCGTCTCCTCTCCTCCTCTCTCCTCTTCTCTCCTCTCCTCTGCTCTCCACTTCTGTCCTCTCCTCTCCTCTCATCTCCTCTCCTTCTATCCTCTCCTCTCCTCTCCTCTCCTCTCCTCTCCTCTCCTCTCCTCTCCTCTCCTCTCCTCTCCTCTCCTCTCCTCGCGCTCCCGCGGCTTGAGGGGCGCCTCTCAGGCGGCGAAGTCGAGTGCTGACAGTTTTGTGATTTTGATGGGTCGCAGCGGCAGTGCGAAGGCCAAGAGCAGAGATGCCCACAGGCCCCCATCGACACATGGCAAGAGTCGGCAGGCGTATGTTGTGTGCCGCTCTTGCCCTGGCTCTTGGGTGTATTATTGGCTCTTGCCCTGGCTCTTGGGTGTACTGCAATCGCGCAGGAAGGCCAGGGTGGGAGTCCTGCCGTACTTGCGGAGTGCCGTGGCCCAAGCAATCTGCTAAGAAGGAGGTTTTTGTTCGCCATCCAGGACGGAGACTCTTCCAGCGTGGGCCCGCTCCTCGAACATCTTCTCCCGAAGTATAGAAAGGCCTTGGAGGCTAAGCAGGAGGGCGCCCTCAGGGCCATGGAGCTGGTCTGTCCAGAGTTGGCCGAAGCAGGGAAACCCCCGCCTCCCAAGACCTCCGATATCCTCCTGGAGCAGCACGCCGCTTCGCTACGACGCCTCCACACGTACCAGGAGAAACTCAAGAAGCAGTTGGTGGCCAACGCCAAGCATGGCAAGGAGCTTCTGGCGAAGCTGGAAAAGAACGCCCGCGCATGTGCCGAGGCGCAGGCTGAGGTCAACCGCCTCACAAGCCTCACCACGGCGGCGCAGGGGGCCGCGAGCGGGAACGCCACGCACGACGACGACAAGCCCGCAGGGGAACCCGCCTTCCATTTTCCCGAGCTTAGCGCCGAGGACGTGGAGCCCTTCACCCCCGAGCAGAAGGAAGCATACGAGGAGGCGCTGGCGCGCGCGCGGCAGGCCCAGCAGGTCCACAAGCAAACGGCGGACATCGGCCGCAGAACGTGGCCAACACGCTCAGGGAACCCCGCGCGAGAAGGCGACCTCCGCGAAGAGGCGCAAGGCCGACAGCGATGCAAGAGTCGTTGCTGGAGCAGCAGACCCGCAGCCAGCAGGCACAGCAGACGGCGGAGAAGAGGCAGAACCAGCGGGCGGCGCCATCGACTTCAGCGACCCGAAGAACGTCGACGCGTACATCTAGCGAACGGCGGCCATCAAGTCCAGGGCGGCGGCAGCGGACTCTGCCAAAGCCACGCCAACGCCTGCTTCGGCATCCGCGTCAACGCCCTCGGGGGGGGGGGGGGGGGCATTTCCTAAGTCGACGGCGGCGGCAGCAGCGCAGTCGAACACGGCAGGAGGGTAGCCAAGTATACGGACATCTACAAGCTCGAGTACCACTTGTCCAGCGCAGCGCGATTCCATATTCGTCGGTAGTGTGACCAGTTACGACCCCAAGGTCAAGAAGTACATAGAGTCATCGCCCTGAGACCCCTTGGGTTTGGCAGAGCATCACTTGCCGCAAGTGGAATGCCAGAGGGAGGACAGGCGATACGCAGTTTTGATTGGAGATTTGAAGGAACGTGGACAGCGGTTACGGCGACAGGACCCTCGGACAAGGGCACGCACGGAGGTACGTGCTGGTTAAGGCGGGCCACCTGCGCCACCAGCATCCACCTGGAGGGCTCTAAGAACAAGAACGTCTACCACGACGCGCTCGTCGACATCTCTGCGGTCCTTTGGCGCTTCCATGGCGCCACCTTTGCATTTCATTCATCGTGTGCAACCTGAACTGCTCCATAGGTCTGGTCGGCACGATCGCTAGGAAGCTGAGCACGGTCCTCTGCATCGTCAAGACGTTGGGTGTATGTTGGCTCCTGATGGGCGACTCCAGCGCCACCCCGGAGGATATGTCGAAGTCGGGTTGGTTGAAGGCCCCCGGCGGCGACATCGTCACGCTCGAAGGCGTCGAGGTCTCATGCGCGCCGGGCAAGGTCCGCATGATTGACTGCGTGTTGTGCCCGACAGCATTCGCCTTTCCTTGGGGCGAGTTACTCCAATCTAATATGTGCCATGAGGGCCGCACATTGGCTTGAACATCGGATTGACAACGCGCCCAGCATCTGTGTTCTTACGCGTCCCGCGGCCCCCAGTGGCACTTGAAGTACCCCAAGGTGAGGTTCGGGCTGCTATAGGGCTCAAGCGATGTCAGCGGGACCGGCAGCGGCATCAGAAGTTGCAGGAGGCGGGAGGGGGGCAGGACATCCACCAGCAGGGTGACATTCTCAACGATGAGAACGAGCACTTGCTTGACGACCACTACGCGCAGCTTCGACAGCGCCGATTCCACGACAGCGATTGGCTCACCCGCGCGGCAGAGGCGCAGCGCATCGGTGACAACACTGGCGTAGCAGGCGAGGGCGCGATCACTGAGAGTCTAGCGTGCCAGCAGGACCCACGCATGAGCGAGATGATGGCACAGCAGTGCGCCGTCTCGTCTGTGGCGGCGGAATAGCAGCTGGCGGCGCTTTGCGATGTCGAGCCTCGCGCTGCAGCGCGCCGAGGAGTACCTGTGCGATTTCGTTGGCATATGACCGCGCGCTAGTATGCCGCCCCCAACTTCGGCCACTCCGCGGCCAACGCCCTGGCGGGCGCGCTGGCCCAGCGCGGAGCGGAGGCCCCCTCCGACCCCATCCGAGGCCTTGTCAAGATTTGGATATCATAAATGCTCGGGCTACTTTAGTGCACCAGAGAATCGGGGCGATTTGGGCTCAGACCTGTAGCGAGCTCGATCGGTCCGACCGTGGGGAGTTCGGGGCGTCGCTCGGTTCGGTCGTGGGTCTCGTTCGTGTCCTCGGGCCAACGTCTCTGTCGTTTGAGTAATTGCCAGTGGTCCTGCACTGGGTGCCGTAAGACCCCAGGGCGCTTTCCTCTGATTGGCTGGTTGCTAGCAGGTGTGTGCCGCGGGGATGAAGCATCGAGGGACCAGAGCGAGCAAGGCCACCACGTATACGTCCCCCCCACCTTGGTTAGTGCCCTCCGAGTTGGCGACAAATCGGTGCATCCCTCGCACTTGGTCGCCATGCAGCACGGCTTGGCGCGGTGTTGGGGATGCGCCCGGTATGCGACCATCGTGGGAGGCAAAGCTAGATTCTGTAAATTGGTTGACGAGTGCCCTCGAGTGTGCACTTCCTCGGGTAGAACCATGTTGAACCGTCCCCGCAAAAAGGCCTCACTCCGAAAACGGGGATGAAGTGGCCTATTCTCCCCGCTGGGGGGGAAAGCGGACTTCCCTTGCGTGTTGTTGGTAGCTCCGCCAAAGGGTTTTGGGAGAGGACGGACGGGAGGGTGGGCCGCTCGCTGAAGAACCCCCCCGTCGGCGTTGTTAAACTACGAGTAAATTAGCCCGCGGGAAAACGCAGCAACGCTTCAACCGTGTCTGTAGCAGCATTATCCTCCCTCCTCCTTCCTCCCTCCTCCCATCCCTGCCTTTGTCCTTCGCATGCGACCCCTCGCACGTTTCGTGGCCCCAGAGGGAGCTCCACAGAAGGCCCAAATGGCAGCGCCCGCATGGCGCCACTGCCCTATTTCGGCACACCCCTCACACGTGTCGTGGCCTCATGGGGAGCCCCGCTAGAAGCCCAAATGGCAGCGCCCACATGGCGCAACTGCCCCATTCTTGTACACCCCTCACTTGTTTCGTGGCCCCATACAGGGCCCCACCGAAGGCCCAAAGTGCAGCGCCTGCGTGGCGCCACCGACCCATTTTGGCACACCCCTCACACGTGTCGTGGCCGGCGCCGCCTCACTTTCGGCACGCCCCTCATGCGTGTCGCAGCCCCGTAGGGAGCCCCACCGACGACCCAAATGGCAGCGCCCGCCAGGCGGCGCCCCGCCCGTTTCGGTCACCCCTCACACGTGTCGTGGCCGGTGCCGCTTCAATTGCGGCACACCTCTTATGCGTGTCGCAGCCCCGTAGGGAGCTTCACCTAAGACCCGCATGGCGGCGCCCCGCCCCTTTCGGTTTTCGTGGCCCCATACGGAGCCCCCCTTCTTCCCACCTGCCATGCGTCAATCGCACTTGCACGTGTTTGGGTCATTCGCCGGCTAAGCGTTGGCTTGTTTCCTCTCTCTCTCTCTTTCTCTATTTCTCTCTCTTCCTATGTAAATTTGCACATGGATAGACTCCGGGATAGTTGTTAAAATGTATGGCGCACGTCTACATCGGTGTTGCACATACGCACATATACGTGTGTTCAGCGATTGGCCGGTGTTTGTATGTGTGCACACGTATGAACCAGCTCAGGTATGCCTCTCGCTCCGAATGTTTATACACATAGGCATCTGCAAACATGTATCCTTATCTAGTTGTTTGAGCCTCTCTCTCTCTACATATAAATATATGTACATCTGCATACGTACACGTGTATGAACATATGTGTATATACAGTTGTCTCTATTTTCAATACACTGTTATAACTTTGTTTATAAATACACAAACGTATATTGATACACATTTTCCTGATCATACATTATATTCATCCAGAGCCGTAAACCAACAACCTTACAGATCGCTGTCACTGGGATCCCCTCGGACGCCCTTGCGGGGGATCCCCAGACCTTCGGGCCTCCTGGGCAACCCTGCCGGGCGGCTCAACGGCTCCGCGAGAGCCCCGAGCGGCCTCAGACACCGACCAGACGGACGAAGCCGGTTCAAAATGCACCCAAATAGGCATTCGAAACGCAAGCGAAGTTGAATTCTTGGTGTTTTTTTTATCCAGCTTTTGGATACTCGGCTCTCCTGTCTGCTGGGAGCCCGAGACTGCCCAAGCTGCTCCAGAAATTGCCCAAAGGGGCTCCGAAGATGGCCCAAAGGCAGCCCCAGCCCAAGATGCTGCAAATCGTGACCCAGTCGTTTAGCCCAACCGTGGCTCGCAGCAAGGTGGCCCGAGGAGGCCCCCAGAGGCCCAGGAGGCTACCAGATGTCCCCACGAAACAAGAAGCCCCCAAGAAGCTTCCATGAGTCCCCCCAAGACCCTCTCCTGGGAGGAGCCTCCGAAGAGAAAAGCTGAGCAGGACGGGGAACGGTTCGCAGGAGAGGGCAGGAGCAAGGAGGCGGAAGAGGAATTATGAGGAATTCGCAATACATACCATTAGTATCGAAGACGCCTACGGCGAATCACCGCCGCCCCCTCCCTCTTTGGAAACGCCTATGTGGCCGAACGTTGTGGCCAGAGGCCTGCCAGGCTATCGGACCATGTGTTCCCCGAATCGGTTTGGAAAGCGTTCGGGGAACACGGTGGGGGAGGAGGAAGGAGAGGAGAGGGAGGAAGAAGGAGGAGGAGGCCTCTTGGGCGCCTCTTGGGGCACTCTTGCGGTCTCCTGGGGGCTTGCTGGGGGCCTCTTGGAGGCCTCTTTGGGGCCTCCTTGGGCCTGCTGGGGGGCTTTGGGGACTTATTGGGGGTCTCTTTGGCCGTCTTAGAGTGTTCCTGGCTTGTCTGACGCCGTCGGAAGCCGTCATGGGGGCCTGTCTGGGTCGTCTTGAGGCCCTCTTGGGGCATTTCAGGACCGTCTTCGAGGCCATCTTGGGCGTCTTGGACGCCTCGTCTTGGGGCCCTCTTGGGGCCGACTTGGAGGCTTTTTGGGCCGTCATGGTGCCATCTTGGAGGCCTCGTGGGCGATCTTGGGGCGATCTTGGGGGCCTCTTGGGCCGTCTTGAGGCGTCGGAATGCCGAGAAGAAACATATGCCAAAATCCTTCAAAGCCCCCTCAGGAAAAGCAATGATTTTGGTCTCTTCGGGCCCTCCTGGAGGACCTCTTGGAGGCCTCTTGGGCCGTCTTGGGCGCCTCTTGAGGGCCTCTTGGGCCGTCTCATGCCGTCTTCGATGCATCTTGGGCTGTCTTGGAGGCATCTTGGCGCCATCTCAGCCGTCTTGGAGGCCACCTTGGCCGTCTTGAAGGCCTCTTGGGGGCCTCTAGGGGCCGTCTTGGGGGCCTCTTGGGCCGTCATGGGGCCATCTCGGAGGCCTCGTGGGCGATCTTGGGGCGATCTTGGGGGCCTCTTGGGCCGTCTTGAGGCGTCGGAATGCCAAGAAGAAACAGATGCCAAAATCTGTCAACAATGTTAGGAACATCTATAATGTTGGTCTCTTCGAGCCCTCCTGGAGGACCTCTTGGAGGCCCCTTAGGCCGTCTTGGAGGCTTCTTGGGAGCCTCTTGGGCCGTCCTGGGCAATATTGATAGCATCTTAGGCCGTGTTGGATGCATCTTGGGCTGTCTTGGAGGCATCTTGGGAGTATCTTAGACATTTCTGAGGCTATCGTGGTCGTGTTGGAGGCCTCCCGGGGCCGACTTGGGGCCGTCTTGGGGGCCCTTGTGCCATCAAGGGGCCCTCTTGGAGGCTTCTTGGGCGATCTTGGGGGCCTCTTGGGCCGTCTTGATCCGTCGGAATGCCGAGAAGAAGCAAGTGCCGCAATCCTTCAAAAACCAAAGGAGGACCTCTTCGAGGCCTCTCGGGTCGTATTGGGCCGTCTTGGAGGCTTCTTCGGCGAACTTGGAGATATCTTGGACTCTCTTGGGCCGTCATGAGGCCGTCTTGGACCATCTTGGGCGGACTTGGAGGCCATCTTGGACCATCTTGGAGGCCATGTTGGGCCAACGTGGCCATCTTGGAGGCCATCTTGAGCTGTCTTGGAGGATTTTTTTCCGGATTGAGGTCCTTTCCGGGTGGCCGGCGGGACGCGCCGGAGCCCCAGGGGGAGTTCTCTTGGAAAAGAACCAACACCAAAAACGAAAGGATTTGGCACGCCGGGCACCCCTGTGGCAAGCCAACAGGGGGCCGCGGATCTCATGGCCGTCGGCCCATTCTGCCACCGTGCCTGGTGCCTCTTGGGGGCCCCTTGGAGGCAGTTTTGAAACCTCGTAGGGGCCGTTTTGGGGCCTCTTGGGGCCCCTTCTGGGCTGCTTGGGCGCCTCTTGGGGCCCCCTGGGGCAGAAGGCTCGGATTTTCGAATCGTGTTCCATCTCTTGGGCTCCCTTTGGAGCCGTCTCGGGGCCCTCTTGGGCCGTCTTGGCGCGCTCTTGGGCCTTCTCGGGGCCCTCTTGGATGACTCTTGAGCTGTCTCGGGGTGGTCTACGGGGCCCGCTTGTGCCGTGCCGTCTGGAAACGTGGAAAAGTCGAAAAGGCGAGAACGGCCGAAACCTTCCAAACCCGAAAGAAGTCAAGGAGTGTTGCCTCTTGGGGCCCTCTCGGGAGGCCTCGGGGAGGCCTCTTGTGGCGTCTTGGAGGCCTCTTGGGCCATCTTCAGACCATCTTGGGCATCTTGGAGCGACCGTTCGGCGACTCGGGGGCCTCTTGGGCTCATCGGAGGGTTCGGGAGGTCGGTTTGGGGGGAGGCACAGCGTCCACAGGAGGTAACATGAAGTCGGGCCTGTCCCTCTACAGGAGGAACATTTAAATTGTCACCTGTAGGGGGACACGCCCGACCTAAAGGTAACACGTCAGAACTCCAGGAGCCAGCCCGAACAAAAACCCGGAAAGGTTTGGAAAACGATTGATCCAGGTCTTCCAAGACTTACAATTCTCGCTGCAGCAGCAGCACTGCGTCTTACCTCCCAGTGCTGCATGAGCCTTGGGGCACTCTACTTCGTGCCAGAGGCACGGTGGCGGAGAACGACGATGCCGAAAACGGTAACAAAGAGTCATCGCTACATTTAAACCTCGCTCTAATTCCGCCTGCGTGCCACGTTTGAAGGACCAAGTTGCATGGCGTGAAGCGGCAGAGCAACCTTGTACATGTACATAGAAATATGTACATATGTATGTGTCGAAGCCGTTCATGTGTGTTTGTTGTTTATCTCTCTCTCTCGCTCTCTCTACCTCTCTCCACTCTTTGCCATCCCGCCAGTACGTGCCGGAGATCGCGGACTGCATTATGGAGGCCGCAGGCGTGACGCTGAAGCTCAAGGAGCTCCCTGCAGCCTGCAAGGCCGCCGCCTTGAGTACAACTTTTGCCCCATACCACGCAATCGAGAGATTACAGTGGGAGTGGGTGGGGGATGGTGGGAAGGGGCGGGATGGGTGGGGTAACGGCGAATGGGAGGAAGGTCAGTGGAGAAGAAGGACGACGACGAGCAGGATAGGTTGGACGAGTACCGGATGGAGGAGGGTAGGACGAGGAGAAACAAGAAAAGAAGGAACCGATGGAGACAGACCATGCGGAGCAGAAGAAGGGGGCGGGAGGAGGGAGCCAGTGTGGAGTGGAGGGGGAGGAGGGGGAATGGGAGGACACAAGTGAAGATGAAGATGATGAGGGAGATGATTTCTAGAGGTAGCGGCGCAGGATAATGCTGATCAGCAGGAGGACATCGAGGTGGAGTCTTTTCCTGCTCCTGGTACTTCCCACTTTGTGCAAAGGTTGGCTCAGGCTTATTTGTTGCTCTAGACACCTCCTAGCCGCCAAGCTACTAAAATGTCTGAATGCTGCGGCAAGGTTGGTTGGTCACGCAGCTGCATGCGGTGCCGATCCGCTTGGTCTCCTGCAGAGCCCGCACTACCCCGAATTTACCCCCTCCTCTTGGCCCCCAGACTCCACTCCTGAGCCATCGCCCCAGATTGCGCTCGGTCCAGCCTTTTCGTCGTCTTCTTCTTCCTCCTCCTCCTCCTCCTCCTCCTCTCCTGCTGCTCCTCCTTGCCCTCCTGCTTCTCGTGCTGCCCTGCGTGCGGCTCGCTCCTGCTTTCGTCCCTCTTCACGTCGGTGCTCGTGCTCCAGGTCTGTTCCCAGCTCCTCGCCACGTACGAGGACTTTGCAGCGGTGCTCGCCAAGGCGATCAAGAAGGCGCGCGGGCGGCTCCAGCAGCGGCGTCCTCCTCCCTCCTCTTCGTCCTCGTCTTGCTCCTTCTGCACTTCCTTCCACTCGGTTCGCGTGGTCTGTCGTCCTTTCTCTCCGTCCTGCCCCTGCTCCCTCCTCCGCCGTCTCCTCCTAACCCCTGCTCCTGCTCCAGCTCGTTCTGTTTTATCCTCCTCTATCCTACTTCCATCTAAGCAACTGGCTCCTCTCCTTCGCACAATCGGACGTGTCGGTACGGCGCCTTAGGTAGTTCGCTTTCGATTTCCTGGCGCTGTGCCGTCCAATGCCTGAACACGCTGAGCCTTTCTTTCATGCACGGATGGGGGCGGGTCAAGACACTTATGTGCGGCCGTTGGCCCAACGACATGGAGCTGCGGGCAGCTGTGCGAATGGAGGCCGTCACTTGTCTAAATCGAGATCGTGTTCCCAGTTCTTTCGCGCTATGCTGCTCCAGCTGTGAAGCTTTCCGACGGTTGCGCGGTAGGAGGGCGGCTCCTTTTCACAATCGCGTTTTGACTTGAGAGTGCATTGCGTTTGTCTACCCCAGAGCCCTTAGCTTCAACAGCTACACAGGTTCAGGGTGACTCTTTTCCAGCATCGTGCTCTCGCTTCGGCGCCGCGAAGTTGTTGTCTCAAAGAGTCTGCTCGAGTGGACGATGACTCTGACGCCCTTTCAAACCCAGCGAGCTTGGCAGCACTATGCGGTCGGGTCGTTGTACAAACGGCAGGGTCTCACCACTCGAGTCCTACCACAGCTTGTGGCAAGGTCACAAGGGGGTCTGACTTCGGCGTCACCCTAACATACTAATACTATGTGTGCGTCGCCACCCCAGGGGCGACGCGAGGACCGAGAACTCGTATAGTATGTGCGTCGTGGCGGGCGCGTTCTGGCCACACCGCTCTGGAAACGATCTGCTACAATATTGGTATACTAGATGTTCGGGTCGGACGCGCGCCTCCGAGGATCCTACATAGTACTCGTATGTCTTTGTGCGTCCCATGACTGCTTCAGCCTTTCTTCCTGGACGCACCTGGACGCGCCCTACGTTCAGCACTCCTCCAGACCCTGAACCGCTGCACGCTGCCTGCAAGACCTGCATGGCCTGAGGCTGAGGGGGCCTCCTCCCTTTTCCCTCCCCCCGCGGCCGCCGCTCGTCTTTCCTTGTTCGGCGGCGAGCGATTGGGGGGAATTGAGGAGGAGAAGGCCTTCTCAGAAGGCGGCGGAACTTTTCAGAAGGTCCCGCGCCTTCTCAGCAGTGTTGTCTGTCTCCGGGGAGGGCTCAGGAAACGTCTCAGAACGCCGAGGGGACTTCCGAGCCTTCAGAGAAGGCCCGCCCTTTCTCACTTCCCCCCCTCGCTCGCCGCCGACTTGTTCCTCCTCCAGCGCATTCGTTTGCTGCACGGTAGCCCTGTGTCCGGCCGACCGCTCTGCGCGAGCGCCGGGTCCGCCACGAAGCGAGTCTCTGCAGCCTTCCCGCGTCCCGAGCAGGATCGCCGCCCTCCCTGGCCACGAGCTCGGTACAGGGCTGCGGGGCTCTCACCTTTTCGGCGAGCGCTCGCAGCAGTGGTGCGGCGGGGGAGGGGGGGGGGGAGGGACGGGCGGACCCCTTTTCGCATGAGTGTATGGTCCTCCTCTTCCTCCTCCTCCTCCTCCTCCTCCTCCTCCTCCTCCTGCGAATGGCACCCGCGAGTCTTGAGATGCGGGTGCGGCGCCTTCGGAGGTATCAGACCATGATCGCCCACCAGTGGAGAAATGGCCAGATTCTCACCTCCATGCTCGGACACTTCTCGTTCGAGGACACACCGACGCTGATTGGTGGTGACTTAAAAAATGATGCGAATCCGTGGGCACTACAGCTACGACAGGATATACAAGAGGGAGTAGAGGGGCTTGATGATGAGGGCGGTTTTCTTGGGAAATGTGTGCGATCGGGGTGGACACAGATATTCACGGATGAGGAGGCGAAGGAGGAATTTCTTAATCAAGACTTTACTGTATTGCGTAAGGGAGTTTATATGTCATCCATACCGCCACCAGAGTGGCAGCCAGATCAGCTACCCACTCAAACTAGTATTACTGCATCTACTGATAAGGGTGGAGGAGGATGGAAATGTGGATTTGTCTTGGAAGATGGTTTGAAATGCTCGGCTTGTTTTGACACATATAAGGCTGTAACACAACATCGAATGGCTAAACATGGACAGCGTGACGTGTGGACAAGAATCGTGACCACGAATGTCTGCCCCTTCTGCCTGACCACTTTCTCGTGTGTGAAGACGGCCCAGAGACATCTCTTATCTAGTGTGGCCAGGGGCGGACATTGTCTGGATCGCTCACGCTATATTGGCGAGCGCCATCATCCCGATCGTGTTGATTGCCATCTTTGTGAGTTTAGGGCTCAAACTTTCGAGCAGCTGCAGGAGCATCTACATAGGCACGTACCTTCATTCAAAGGATTATCAGAGTTGGAACCGACACATCCACCTCGCTATCGGTATGCCGCCCTTCGCAGTCGCAGCACCCTCGTGGGGACTGAAGCGCGGTGCCGAACCAGCCCAAGGTGCCGAGGGACCAGATCGAAAAAAGCACATCCAGGATCTGCTGGCAAAGGGAGAGGACGTGAGCACAGTCAAGAAGCTGCTCATCGTACTCACAAAGTTAAGCCTGACAAACGCGGCCGAGATCAGAGAGATCACGGGCATGCTGTGGAACACGGTGCTCGTCGAAGTCAAGTCGCCTATCGTCGTCGAGATGATGGCTCAAGGGAAGTCTTACCACGAGGAGAGCAAAAAGGCCAAAGGCGACCCCGCCGCTCAAGACCGCCTTGGCCCGCCGTACGTGCACATCTTCGCGGGGCTCATGCTCGGACTGTCCAAGACAGAGCCACAGCTGGAGGAGACCCACACGAACAGTCTCACCGAGTTCTGGACCCAGCAGGTGGTATCAGAGGGCAAGACACCGCTCGACCTCCTGGGCAAAGTGATGTACTGCAAGTGCAAGGCGGCCAAAGTGAAGGACGGGAAGCCAGGCCTCGCGAAGGTGACGATCGCGATGAGCATGGAGTTCGGCGCAGTGCAGGTGGCGATTCTGGCAGCACTGGTGGCGAACGGAGGCATCAAGAAGCACGGGCCAGCCCCCAGGGGCCCACTGGAGCGCGCAGCTCAGGAGCTTCTCGAGGTGCTCGAGGGTACACAGTCCAAGAAGAGCTGAGCACGAACAGAATGGTTGATTATGCTGTTGAGTTGGAAGTTATTCCTCGGCAGCCACAGAGATTGACGGCCATCCAGCGTGTTCAGATTGGGCAGTATTCACATCGACTACTACAGATGGTGGAACGTGGTGATGTGACTCTCGAGGCCGCACTCCGCCATCCAGGTGTTGCTGCCGCTAGCTTAGTACTGCAGCCGCCCACGCGGCGGAGGAAAGGGAAGGGAAAAGGGGGGAGGGTGAGTGGCCGTGGTGTGTCTCAGGCCGCTGAGCCTTCTTCTGGGAGCCAAACTCACCCGCCCCCCCCCCGACCCCACACGAAACTTTTTGAGCAATTTTTTGGATAGGGACTGAGGCTGGATGACGCACTGCCCATCGTGCCCTGGTTGGTGGGAGTGGCCTTTGTGTCCCCACCTCCCAGGGGGTAGATGGGCGGCTCCGCCCTCCTGCTTTAGAATCTCTCGCGGTTTTGGTGGTGCGGGGAGGCCCCTCAGCCTGGTCGGCAAACGAGGGTGCCTCAGACCGCCTGTGTAGAGCTCCTGCCTGCACAAGCGGCCACCCAGAAGTTCCTTGACAGGTCCTCAGGGCGAAGACAGGTTTTTTTGTTCTGATGTTATAAACTGGTGAATTTTCCACCAGGAATTGCCCAGGCAACTCACGCGGTCAGACGAACCTAGTGCCCCCAGAGCTCGATTCCGATTCCGATTCCTCCTCCTCCTCCTCCCTCCTCCTCCTCCTCCTCCCTCCTCCTCGTCCTCCTCCTCCTCCTCCTCCTCCTGTCCGTGGCCAGTCTGGCCCAAGGCCAGGTGTTCCGCCCGTCCTCGGCGCGCGGGGCCCATGGCGGCGCGGGACGCTGCCGCCGCCGCGCCCGCGGCGTGCGCAGCGGCCGGCAGAGAGAGAGATTGGAAAGGGGGGGGAGGGCAGGGGAGGGGGGGGAGGGAGAGAGGGGGGGGGAGGGAGGGAGGGGGAGGGGGGAGGGGGGAGGGGGGAGGGAGAGGGGAGGGGGAGGGGGCAGGGGCGACGGCACCCCCGCGGCGCGGCTGGCGCCGAGGCGCCCGCCGACGAGCTGATGCGGCGGCTCCCGCGGGAGCTCGCCCTCGGCCCGCGCGGGGCACGCGGGCGCCCCTGCGGGCGCCTCGGTGGGTGGCGAGGAGGGGCTCCTGCAGCCGGTCGCCGCGGCTCCCGCCCTCGCCTCGCTGCTGCGGGGGCAGCACCCCCCGTGCCCGCGGAGAAGCTGCGCGGGGACGTGGCCCTACACGCCGAGGTCTCTGGGCTGGGCGTGGAAGAAGAAGTGGTAGTAGTCGTAGTGGTGGTAATCGTAGTAGCAGTAGTAGTAGCAATAGTAGTAGTAGTAGTAGTAGTAGTAGTAGTAGTAGTAGTAGTAGTAGTAGTAGTAGTAGTAGTAGTAGTAGTAGTAGTAGTAGTAGTAGTAGTAGTCGTAGTAGTAGTAGTCGTAGTCGTAGTAGTAGTAGTAGTAGTAGTAGTAGTAGTAGTAGTAGTAGTAGTAGTAGTAGTAGTAGTAGTAGTAGTAGTAGTAGTAGTAGTAGTAGTAGTAGTAGTAGTAGTAGTAGTAGTAGTAGTAGTAGTAGTAGTAGTAGTAGTAGTAGTAGTAGTAGTAGTAGAGTAGTAGTAGTAGTGGTAGAAGTAGTCTCAGTGGTAGCCGTAGCCGTCGCAGTAGAAGGGGTTGTAGTAGTAGTAGTAGCAATCGCAGCAGTTGTCGTAATATCATCAGAAGTAGTCGTAGCATCCGTAGTCATAGAGTAGTAGTAGCAGGAATAGTAGTAGTAGTAGTAGTAGTAGTAG